ATTGTTTAAAATAATGAATTTCAGTTTCAAGCTTTCACACTCAACAACTCTAACACACGATAACAAGTTTCAATCTTTCCTTTAACCCGGTTGGAAAGGAATTATATACTAAACAAAACTAACCAATGCAGCTTACTAAACACCACAACACAAAGCATAACAGCATGACTAAGAAAAGGAAACCAACGGTACCCAAACCGGATTAACCCAGTTTAAAACTGGATAATTTATTCTTTTGAAGACTATTATAAAGTCTAAGAAAGAAATAATAAAACACAAAAAAGTCGAAAGACAAACCCATACCACGAACAATTTGCTTTTTGAAAAAAGGACACAACCAACAAAACATAAGAAAAACCACAACAAACCCAACATAAAACGTTGTCACATAACAGGACCCCTCACAAAAACCGCATGAAATCATACTCCCACTCCTGGCCTAACCCACCAGGAAGGACGTCCTGAGCATGCTCTATAGCCGGCCTAACCCACCGCGCTACATCCACGCTTGGTGACCACACCTCTATTTTTAATAAGAGCTACTCAAGTGTGAGTAACTCTTCAAAATAACCGAACTAAAACAAAAAGCTTTTGTGAAAACAACTAACTAAAATCATAATTAAAAAATATTAAACTAATAAATGTTTTATAAAATGTAAATTACATTATGCAATACATAGATCAGAATACAACACCAAGGACGAACATCTAAAGACAAAACGACCCCACTACACTCGAGAGAGAATGACCAACCACAATCGATATGCCACTCACAATCACAACTCAAAGGATTTAGAGTACGACTTGACTTCGCAGAAAAGGACTTCATTGAACTAGACCAATGACCACCTCGATGTTCAAGTATACGTACAGATCCGAGTAACCAGGCATCCCCCCCACGCACAATCTCCACGCCATTCCCAAACTAGATCAGACACAAAAGAAGTTCTCCACGCAGAACAGAAAAACCTGACATAGCCAACCATTCTGAAATCAGATTTGAGTTTGTTGCAAAGACTTAGTCGTTGTCACTAGAAGACACAACGTCTTATGTCTCTAACTCCAGCTTCCTGGAACTTCTTTAACAAAGAGGAAACGGAAGAAAATGATGTTCGCCGAAAACCAACGTCCTTCATCCATCCTTCGAATTGCAGAAGAACTATTCTAAAAAACTCTGTAAAACCCGGATGGGTGGAACCTGATCTAAACTACATTTTATGATTGGATAATTTAGATATTTTACCAATGTAAAGTATTTAATATTAACCAATCATGATCCATCTAACTAACAACCCACTTATTTGTAAGTGCTGAAGTTACTTGTAATTTCAGCACCAGAGAGATTTGAATTTAACTTAGAAATTAGTTGGACTCTCCCGAGCACTTCAGCAGCCGCAATAAACCAGTATACCCTAGATCTATTGAGCCTAGCAGAGACTAGTTAAACAACCTGAGACTAGATAGTATAAGAGTAAGATTAGGATCGGTATTAGACTAAGAAGTTGCACGAATCTATCCGGCCGAAAATAAGATAGCGTGACGAGCAGACGGTGTACCCTATCCGAAATTACTCTATGAGTTAACCAACTCGGTCCTAACTCAAATTAACGCGCGATATAATTCGCGCTATTAACGCGTAAGCGGAGATTTAATCCGTCTTATAAATCGTTCCAAATTAGTTGAACGAAGCTTATTTGCCATAATTGATTTGTTACAAGGAACGAAATCTATCTTTTTGTACTTAATATGGCGTGTGGGGGGATGATTTTCATAAAAAACTTCAAATTTTAGAGAAAAAAAAATTCTTTTCATTTTATTTCTTTTAATTTTTTATGTTAATACTGCTGCTCCATAAACCTTAAAAGGCAGTCGGAACATTCAGGGCTTCGCCCTGATACGAGCAGTCTTGTATATTTTTTTGCCATCGCTATATTCCATTTATCTTTTTTTGACTGAAATGCTGCAGAAAACCTGTCAACTTTCACCACTCAGACAATCTTATCGCCTCAAAGATTCAGGTCACAGAGGTCTTTTAACTACTTTTAATCAAAGTTTACGCGGAAATCAAAGGTCATTGAATTTCTTTCAATTTTGAAGGAGCGCAGCTGAAGTTTGACAACCATTGTTTATTTTAGACAAAGTGGTGACTATGGCCACATTTTCAATGGAATAGCGAGTTAATAATTTTTAAAGAAAATTGGACAACTTGAACTTAAATACCTCGTGCGTTAAGTCAATTATTTCTAAGCGGCCAACCAGCATGTGAAAAATTCGGCTCTTTTCCAGTTTCCCCCCTTCAAATTCAATTTTGAAAAGTCTATTTAACGTTGTCATAATGCAATGAAATTTGGCGTGGTGAACAAATCGACAACTGTAAACAGATTTGTTCTTCAAACTTTACAGCGTAACATCACGCGTTTAGCCATAATAACACGTAAAACAAACATA